GTGGTTCTGAACCCATGTCTGTTCAGGTACTGCTTCATTGATTGTTTGATGTCTCTGGTCTAGGGGTTACAAATGTGTTTTGTAATTCCTGTATACCCAGTTCAATTCCAGCTGCAGGCAGTTTGACAACAGGCTGCTTTGCATTGATTTTGACAATTATATTGAATGCCAAACATTCAGAAAGCAATGGCAAACCTCCTCTTAAAGTTAATGGCAAAATTGTCGAGTAAAACAAAATGGCCAAAAAATACTGGGGATTTGCTGTAAACCGTCATTACTGTCTATATGTACCACTTTTTTAGGGCAGAGTAGACAAGAGGGGTCGTGACCCTGGGGATTTAAGGTGGTGTAGACAGGGGGTCGTGAACAAGAGGGGTCATGAGCCTGGGGATTTAGGGCTGTGTAGACAAAGGAGTTGTGAACCTGGGGATTTAGGGCTGTGTAGACAGGGGGTCATGAGCCTGGGAATTTAGGGCTGTGTAGACAGGGGTGTTGTGAACTTGGGGATTTAGGTCTGTGTAGACAGGGGGGTTGTGAACCTGGGAATTTAGGGTGGTGTAGACAGGGGGTTGTAAGCGTGGGGATTAAGGGTGGTGTAGACAGGGGGGTTGTGAACCTGGGAATTTAGGGTGGTGTAGACGGGGGGGTTGTAAGCCTGGGGATTTAGGGTGGTGTAGATGGAGGGCTGTAAGCCTGGGTATTTAGGGTGATGTAGATGGAGGGTTGTAAGCCTGGGGATTTAGGGTGGTGTAGATGGAGGGTTGTAAGCCTTGGGATTTAGGGTGGTGTAGACGGGGGGTTGTAAGCCTGGGGATTTAGGGTGGTATAGACGGGGGGGGCTCATGAGCCTTGGGATTTATGGTGGTGTAGATGGAGGGTTGTAAGCCTGGGGATTTAGGGTGGTGTAGATGGAGGGTTGTAAGCCTGGGGATTTAGGGTGGTGTAGATGGAGGGTTGTAAGCCTGGGGATTTATGGTGGTGTAGACAGGGGGTCATGAGCCTTGGGATTTAGGGTGGTGTAGACGGGGGTCATGAGCCTTGGGATTTAGGGTGGTGTAGACGGGGGGTTGTAAGCCTGGGGATTTAGGGTGGTATAGACGGGGGGTCATGAGCCTTGGGATTTATGGTGGTGTAGACGGGGGGTTGTAAGCCTGGGGATTTAGGGTGGTGTAGATGGAGGGTTGTAAGCCTGGGGATTTAGGGTGGTGTAGATGGAGGGTTGTAAGCATGGGGATTTAGGGTGGTGTAGATGGAGGGTTGTAAGCCTGGGGATTTAGGGTGGTGTAGATGGAGGGTTGTAAGCGTGGGGATTTAGGGTGGTGTAGATGGAGGGTTGTAAGCCTGGGGATTTAGGGTGGTGTAGATGGAGGGTTGTAAGCGTGGGGATTTAGGGTGGTGTAGATAGAGGGTTGTAAGCGTGGGGATTTAGGGTGGTGTAGATGGAGGGTTGTAAGCGTGGGGATTTAGGGTGATGTAGATGGAGGGTTGTAAGCCTGGGGATTTAGGGTGGTGTAGATGGAGGGTTGTAAGCCTGGGGATTTAGGGTGGTGTAGATGGAGGGTTGTAAGCCTGGGGATTTAGGGTGGTGTAGATGGAGGGTTGTAAGCATGGGGATTTAGGGTGGTGTAGATGGAGGGTTGTAAGCCTGGGGATTTAGGGTGGTGTAGATGGAGGGTTGTAAGCCTGGGGATTTAGGGTGGTGTAGATGGAGGGTTGTAAGCGTGGGGATTTAGGGTGGTGTAGATGGAGGGTTGTAAGCGTGGGGATTTAGGGTGATGTAGATGGAGGGTTGTAAGCCTGGGGATTTAGGGTGGTGTAGATGGAGGGTTGTAAGCCTGGGGATTTAGGGTGGTGTAGATGGAGGGTTGTAAGCCTGGGGATTTAGGGTGGTGTAGACAGGGGGTCATGAGCCTTGTGATTTAGGGTGGTGTAGATGGAGGGTTGTAAGCCTGGGGATTTAGGGTGGTGTAGACGGGGGGTTGTAAGCCTGGGGATTTAGGGTGTTGTAGACGGGGGGTCATGAGCCTTGGGATTTATGGTGGTGTAGACGGGGGGTTGTAAGCCTGGGGATTTAGGGTGGTGTAGACGGGGGGTCATGAGCCTCGGGATTTAGGGTGGTGTAGACGGGGGGTTGTAAGCCTGGGGATTTAGGGCCGCCTGACTAGTGCTGTCACCACGGACTGCACAGATTGGGTTGTTTAGTTTTGCCCCCGACAGAAAAATGCTGTCACCTTACCGGAGGGTCAAACTCCGATATTCCACATGAGCTCCCGACTTTGTAACTGCTCAGCCAGTGGCTCCTCAGTGGTTCTACAATGTCCTGTTAAGGATACACAACTTTTTATCATTGATTGATTGTTGTTAATTCAGTTCGTAAGGGGTCTGATGGTTGTTTTAAGTAGTTTTTATAATGTTTGATTGACTGCTTTTCATCATCATCATCATCATCATCATCATCATCATCATCATCATCATCATTATCATGTTTCACCATCTAACACGATCACCAAAATCCTGGATCAGCTCAGTGTTTTCATCTTGCCCCATCCGTGGCACAAACCGCAAGTGCTGGATTTCAAACTTCTCTGGGTGAGAAGGTTAAAGGTTAGTGAAGGTCGGTGAATGGTTTTCACAAACCCTGACAAACCAAGTTTCCACATCACAGTTTTTTTCAGGGAGATCGGAGAGTGTTGCAAAAGTCAACCTGTAGAAAAGATTGTGACCTAACTGCACCACCTAATATTTCCTAAGACAGTACTAGATGCACAAATCCAACCTTCATTATGAAGATGGCACAGCATTTTTTTAAAGTTGAAAGTAAATACGTGAAATGTACAGGTGATGTTTGTATCACTTCAAATTATTCTTTATGTTTTGCTGTAATTCATATTTATATCTCGACAGATTCTCAGCACACCCGTAGACCTCAGTGATAATATAGATTTTTTCCGGAACATTCCTTCATACGTAAGTAGTCACACAAGTAGTATGTATTTATATATTACATAGTGATATGTATTGTCCATAACGTGATATTGTAGAGTCTATGATGTGCTATTAGTGTCTTTGGTGTGGTTTTGTTAGTCTATGATGTGGTAAAAGAGAAGTCTGTGATGTGGTGTTGTTAGAGTCTGTAATGTGGTACTGTTAGAATCTGTAATGTGGTACTGTTAGAATCTGTAATGTGGTACTGTTAGAATCTGTAATGTGGTACTGTTAGAATCTGTAATGTGGTACTGTTAGAATCTGTAATGTGGTATTGTTGGAGTCAATAATATGTTATTGTTAGTCTGTAATGCAGTATTGTTAGAGTCTGTAATGTGGTATTTTTAGAGTCTAATGTGGTATTGTTAGAGTCTGTAATGCGGTATTGTTAGAGTCTAATGTGGTATTGTTGGAGTCTTTAATGTGGTATTGTTAGAGTCTAATGTGGTATTGTTAGAGTCTTTAATGTGGTATTGTTAGAGTCTTTAATGTGGTATTGTTAGAGTCTTTAATGTGGTATTGTTAGAGTTTGTAATGTGGTATTGTTAGAGTCTGTAATGTAGTATTGTTAGAGTCTGTAATGTAGTATTGTTAGAGTCTGTAATGGGGTAATGCAGAGTCTTTAATATGGTATTGTTAGAGTCTTTAATGTGGTATTGTTAGATTCTTTAATGTGGTATTATTAGAGTCTTTAATGTGGTATTGTTAGAGTCTTTAATGTGGTATTGTTAGAGTCTTTAATGTGGTATTGTTAGAGTCTGTAATGTAGTATTGTTAGAGTCTGTAATGTAGTATTGTTAGAGTCTGTAATGTGGTAATGCAGAGTCTTTAATATGGTATTGTTAGAGTCTTTAATGTGGTATTGTTAGATTCTTTAATGTGGTATTGTTAGATTCTTTAATGTGGTATTGTTAGATTCTTTAATGTGGTATTGTTAGAGTCTTTAATGTGGTATTGTTAGATTCTTTAATGTGGTATTGTTAGAGTCTTTAATGTGGTATTGTTAGATTCTTTAATGTGGTATTGTTAGATTCTTTAATGTGGTATTGTTAGATTCTTTAATGTGGTATTGTTAGAGTCTTTAATGTGGTATTGTTAGATTCTTTAATGTGGTATTGTTAGAGTCTTTAATGTGGTATTGTTAGATTCTTTAATGTGGTATTGTTAGAGTCTTTAATGTGGTATTGTTAGAGTCTTTAATGTGGTATTGTTAGAGTCTTTAATGTGGTATTGTTAGAGTCTGTAATGTGGTATTGTTAGAGTCTGTAATGTAGTATTGTTAGAGTCTGTAATGTAGTATTGTTAGAGTCTGTAATGTGGTAATGCAGAGTCTTTAATATGGTATTGTTAGAGTCTTTAATGTGGTATTGTTAGATTCTTTAATGTGGTATTGTTAGATTCTTTAATGTGGTATTGTTAGATTCTTTAATGTGGTATTGTTAGAGTCTTTAATGTGGTATTGTTAGATTCTTTAATGTGGTATTGTTAGAGTCTTTAATGTGGTATTGTTAGATTCTTTAATGTGGTATTGTTAGATTCTTTAATGTGGTATTGTTAGATTCTTTAATGTGGTATTGTTAGATTCTTTAATGTGGTATTGTTAGAGTCTTTAATGTGGTATTGTTAGAGTCTTTAATGTGGTATTGTTAGAGTCTGTAATGTGGTATTGTTAGAGTCTTTAATGTGGTATTGTTAGAGTCTGTATTGTGGTTATAGTATGGTATTAAGAGTCTGCAGTGTGGTATTAATAGTCTGTAATGTGGCAATAGGAGTCTGTTATTGAGTGTTGTTAGCATCTGTCCTAGATTTCACAAGTACCATTGTTGAAATCTTGGATAGAAGGTGTTTGGAAAAGTTTATTATGCATAGACTAACCAAATCTGTATGCGGATCCATGAACCATTGTCCTAGAAATATGAATCACAAATGATTGTTCTAAAAAATTAACACAAGTGGACCACAAAGTATTGGCCATTAAGGAATAGATCATTCATAAATAGATATGTCTTCTTCTT